TTTATTATGTAAAGGTGAAAAGGTTACACTAATGGTGTAAGAATAAGTATAGTGTAAACTCAAAATGGACTTTAATGTTTGATACTAACATGTTTTGTATTTGTTATCTTGTTCACTCTTTAATACTTTGCTTGTTAAATGACTAATCTTGATTTATGTTGTATAACACTTGGTACAACAAATGCTTGGCACTTTCATAGCCTATATTGTATGGTATAATCGACACCTGAGCTATGAAAGGAACTTGATTTGTTGTTAACATAAGTTATAATCATGAATACTTGACGAGATTTACAAGTGCTAGCATTAATTGAATAAGATAACTAATGTAATCATGTTAACAATCTATAATCTAATTGGAACCTCCTTTGTGTGTGGTTTCCAATTGAATAATAAGAGTTTATACTATACTTGTTTGACATACCATTAGTGGAACCTCTAACCTTGACATTTGTTATTATTATTATTTAATCCTTACATTAATTTTCCATCTCCAAGTTTTCATCATCTTCTTCTTCTTCTTCTCTTTCTTTATTACTACTACTACTACTACTACTACTACTACTACTAATATTATTATTATTATTATTATTATTATTGTCATTGTCATTGTTGTTATTATTGTTATTACTATTATTATTGTTGTTGTACTATTGTTGTTTATAATTTGTACAATTAACCTCCTTGTGGTTTAACCCCGGTCTTGCTGAGTTATTTATTACTTCGACACTCCTGCACTTAGGAGAAGACAACAATCTTTTCGTCGTGTCAATCACCATGAGCCGCTCGCACAAGTAACTCCTGTAATGAACCTGAAGGAATACACATTGTGTATGCTGGTCTATTAGGAAGTGAAGCTCCCGGCACTAAATCAATTTGATGCTCAATTCCACGAATAGGCAGTAACCCTTTAGGTAATTCATCTGGAAACACATCTTTAAATTCTTTAAGCGTCCTTAATCTGTGTTGGTAAGTCTAATCCTTCTACTTGTAGCAATTGCTTTGCCCAGATCATGAAAGCAACCCCCGTTGAAGCTAATGCCTGTTTGATATCGCCTTTTTTGGCTAACAACAACCCCTTACGTGATTGCACCTCCTTTTGTTGGCTTCATAACTGATCCTCTCTAACCTGTTGATAACTCAATGGTAACAAGTTCACCTTCTTTCCATTCAGCTTGAAAGAATAAGTGTTCTTTCGTCCATTGTAGGTCAAATCCTTATCAAACTGCCATGGACGACCCAATAACAAATGGCTAGCTGACATCGGCGCAATGTCACATAAAACCTCATCATGATAGGTTTTAATGGAAAAGGGCACAAGAACTTGCTTTGTCACCCGAATCTCTCCATTCTCATTCAGCCATCGCAAACTATACGGTCTGGGATGTGGAATGGTAGTTAAACCCATTTTCTCCACCAAGATAGTTGAGGCAACATTAGTGCAACTTCCATTATAAATGATCATCCCACACACCTTATCTTGAATCTGACATCGAGTATGAAAGATGTTCTCACGTTGCTCATCACTAACATCAATTTGTGCATTCAGAACCCATTGCACAACCAACAAATCTCCCTTCACTAGTTCGAAATCCTCTTCCTGTTCCATTTGTGCCTCATCTTCATCTGCAGTTTCAGCCTCATCTCCACTGATCTGCTCTCCATGATCCCCATGCAATATCATCACCCTTTTATTTGGACATTCTAAAGCGATGTGCCCATGTCCTAAGCACTTGAAGCACTTGAAGCACTTGATGTCCCGAGACCTCCTAGGATGTGGAGGTTCAAGATAGTAATTTTGGAAACCCCGGAATTTGAATTTAAGATAGTAATTTTCGGGAGAGAGAGAGAGATTAGAAATCAAACTGTCGGAGCTAGATCATCCTCATTTCTTACTATGCTGTTCATTCCAGCCTTCTAGAAACATTGACCGAATGGATCTTCATTCCAATCAACGAGGTGGGAGATATTGATCTCGTAATATTTCTACTGTTCTGCATTTTTAGTTGCAGCAGAGTGAATTGGGTTTTGTTGAA